TGGGTGGTACGGGCGGCTGAGCCTGCGCTGGCAGCTGCGTGCCTGCCGCCGTTTTGATCGAGTTCAGGGTTTTGCTAAACCAAGAGTTTTTGGCAGCTTGGATTTCATTCATAAGGGCTCCTCTCTGGTGCTCCAGCTCCTACGAAAGCAGAAGAGTCAGAAGCTATCAAAACCCAACTAGTTCACAAAAAAGCATCCTCAAACTCGGCCCCTGCAATCCGGCACTTTCCTTGCAACCTCCCAGGCACTGGGGAGAGAAGACGGATTGCAATAGTGGAAAGAGCAGAGGATATTTAAATACACAGAGGAAAACCTCTTTTCTTTTTTTTTTAAGACAAAATTGCTCTGGAAGTTCACAGGTATACAGTGGTAGAGCTATATGCTCCTTTTCGGAACAATTTCTTGCATGATTCAAAATTCTTTTGGACGGAGCACAGCGAGGCTGAGGAGACCGCCCTGCTGCACTTGGCTTCCACGTACCTGAATTTTGCACTTGGCTTCCACAAGCTGCAGTTTGGTCTGTGCGAGTTCCAGCTCCATCTCTCGCAGCTGCTTCTTCAGGGCATCCTTCTCGTCATCCGTTTCCAGGCCTTTATTCTCCCTGCTCACAGCAGGCAGCTTCAGCGCTCCCTCCTTACTGAAAATCTCACTGCAGTGTTTGCAGGCCATCACTTTGCCCTGAAATGCCCAGAAAGCTTATTTTTAACCCAGGTTACAGAAGTTGCGTGCTTCCTGAAGAGCCATTTTTATGTTAGACTCCAACTAGCACTGCAGTCTTCATATTTGACATGAAAAGAATTCGAGAAGTCCATGCATGAACAATTTCCAGGGTATATTAACTAGTATAAAAATTCCTGAAATCTACTTTGCACGCTGTCTCAGCACAGAGACACTGCGCCTGGATTAGAATTACTCGAGCCTTCTTGCCACCAAAGCTTTGTAGTATTTTGCAGTATTTATGCTAGCACAATTCAGAAGAGTAAATTACACTGCTGGGGCTTTTTGTCTCCCATAAAAGTGCTTCACCAAATTAATACAGATTTTGATACTTGTAAAGAACACCAGGCAGCTTTTCCGTATTTGCGGAAGGAAGCGAGGCGCCTGTGCTCACTGCCAGGGCCCACGGTCCTGCGGGCTCGCTCAGCGGCGCAGGCGGGGGTTTTTGGCAGCGGTGAGCCAGTTACTCGTGGCTGCAGATGCAGCACGGCTGGCCTGGCTCGCGCAAACTAAAATGGGGTCCTGAGCTAATTCTGCAGATTGTAGGAACGTCGATCCTAGAATTACTTTTTTTATCAATAACATAGAAAGGTCACTAAAAAGCAAGAAATCAGGTTCAGCTTGAGTACTAAAGAAACAACTGGAAGCTATAGCAGAGGGAAAACAAATCTGCCTCCTGAGTAGTGACAAAGCAGAGGGATGGAATCACTACCCGATCGGGAAACGTCTGCTTCTAGCGCAGACATTCCTGGTAAGGGGGTTTAGAGAAGGGAGAGGAACTGCTATGGAAATTGTGGGGACGGCCCAAGCTGTGTCAATGCCTTAAACCAACTCTGCTTAAATTCAGAAACCCAAACACAAACATTGGCCAATTTGGCCAGTTCCGACCCCTCCCCTGTGCACACTGGAGAAGCAACATGGTCTTTCTCCTAGAGAGCCTTTTTTTTTTGCCCCCACTTCATTAAAACAGCCAAGTAAATACTGTTTCTCTACTTTTTTTGCTAAAAGCATACATTTCAACAGGAAAAAGAAAAGCCAATTAATATATGCATTTCAGTTGGAGAGTTCCACCCTGTCTGATATAAAGAACCGTGAAAGGAAAGAAACTCTTTCATTGTTTGTATCTGATGAAAAATGCATGTGCGGCTATCGGTGCAGCTGGGTGGACGCCGCTGTTGTGCCATGAAGCACCAGCTCACACTTTGCTCTGTACCCCTGGCATTTAGCAATACCGGCGCTGGAAACGTCCCGTATGTGGAGGCATCGTTCTCACCTTCACAACTTCCAGTTCGTCCTTACTGGCCGCTTGTTGTTTTTCCAGCCTGGTACTCAGCTGGGAACAGATCTGGAGCAGAGAAAGCAATCTCTTAGCTAGCTGACTACAATAAAACATAACCTGTGCTTTTTAACAGTGAATTTTGTTAGAGCCAGCATTTCTTAAATTTCATATGCATTCCGCCTTAACAAACCCACTGCTGCTGCTAATGAGACAGAAACACGTGGCAATACTCAGTACAGGACCTGAACACAGAGACTGGAACATTTTGTGGATGAACTGGTTTAAAATGTTTACACCGTCACAGGGTAAAGAAGCATTCACCCTACGGTACTAAAATTAGCTGAAAGACAGGTTATTCCCAATTCCCTAAATTAGGAGACTCTTGGGAAAAGGACAAAAAGATTTGTGACAAACTGCAATGCTTGCTCTCTGAAAGCCCGGATCTTATTTAAAGGGTGAAATCTGCAACTCTGAAAATTCAGCTCTCGGAACAGGCTGGCAGAAGAAATACGAGAAAGCGTCTCTAGACCAGTACCTGTTTGTACTCTGCAATAATGGCTGTGGTTTTCTTGATCTCAGATTCTGCCTTCTCCAGCTGCTTCCTGAAGACCTCCTTCAGCTGGGAATTGAAGGAGAGAAGTTACACAGCACGCTGAAAGAAGTTCTCAAAATGCATCATCAGATTGTTCTCTCAAAGTCCTGCTGTGTTTCCAACAGTTCTGCAGCTGCTTCTTACCAAACTCCAGTTCTGCAGAGAAGTCTCTGACTTACTCAGTACACAAATAGTTCTTATATTCAGTTATAACCAAAAAGTCTATGCTGTGATACAGTGCATCCCTGCTTCGAGAATTCTCCTGTAGGATAATTCTCTTTCTCTGTGTTCAATGGTGGTACAGCATGGTCCACAGAACAAGAGCATTACTATTAAGCAGGTTTTACTGGTTTTGGTTTTATTTTTCTGCATATGGCCACAGCAGGGTTGGGCAGACAGATTGTTTGTTTGTTTGGAGATGGGAGAGGAAGAAGAATCTCTCAGCACCACCACTCTCATCTCTGTAGCAGGAAAAAATATCTGTTTTGGTTCGTGGTGCTGCGTTACGATACACCTAACTCATTCCTCCGCCATTCAGAACCACTAAATTTTGAAAGCCCTTTCAGAAGGAAGAAGACCTCCACTGCCTTGTTTATAGCAAACAGAGAACTTGGCAACCTCCATTTTAGAGACATAAAGAGTTTCCATCTGATTGTTGTAGGCACTGCTGGCAAAGGGCAAAAATAAAAATCAGGGTATCACTTTTGAAACATCCTTCTGTGCGTGTCAGTGTTCAGCACGCTAGATAAGTAGGATTAAAAAATACGACCGAGCATTTCACAAATAAATATCAAGCCAGGCCTAGCCCACAGAATTCTCCCAGCCCTCAGCTCTTCTCCTGCTGGTTCTAGCTTCAGGCAGGAACGGTCGTGGCTTTATTTCAGTGAACCAGCAGCTGAATCCAGAACGGCCTCTTCCAAAGCACCAACTCCCCCAGCTCCCTGTTTAGGTAATTAACAGGGGGCTGGCAGGGTGTCCTCAGCTGCGACTGCTCACCACCACGGAAAATGGTTATTACAATGCTGGGAAGGGGATAAGGTATGGAAAACCGAACATTCAGAGCTCAAGTAAAGGAAAACACGGAAAAACATAGTTTTTAAAACAAACATTTACCCTGCCACTCTGAATTTTTAATTGCGACTGTGTTTTGAAGATAAAATCCTTTCTGCAACTGCAACACGTTCACACTTCTCTGCATATCCTTTTGCTTGCATTTCCTTGCTAAATGGGAAAGCGGCAGTGCCTTACCTGAGCAGTTTCCTCTTCCTGCTTCCGTTTCTCTTCCTCAGTCTCCACCAGCTTCTGCTTGGTCAGGAGAAGTTCCTTGTTCAAAACATCCGCTTTGTCTTCGGCCTAGAATTAGCAGCACTGATGTAAACCAGGCGTTCTCTGCGCCTACACAAACTATCGGCATACACACCTCGGAAACACTGCAGGCTCAGGGGCTAGCATTGCCTTTTCCTGCCCTCTGATGGCTCACCTAACCTATTTTTTATAGGAAATTCCCTTTTCAAGTAGCTATTTTCTAACTTATTTCATTGTGTTTCAACAACTGTGCAAAAAGACCCTTTTGCCAAATGTTTGCCTACGCCCAGATGACAACCAAGCACAGATACAATACAAACCTAACACAAAAAATGACGGATAGAATATTTTTGTTGGGAATAACATTAATCTAAGCGAGGGCAGCATGATTTAGCTCCTGTGTGACTTCAGACAACTCATTCCATTTTGGATTCTGTAAGCGGGGACACCAGATGCTGCAGAAAACGTCAGGTGCCTGCACCACGCCCTGCAAAGTGTTTGGACAAAGACAAACAGGACCACCAAGTAAAATGGTCTGCGGAGTAGCGCCAGTAAGTATGACCTGGAGAAACCTGACACTGCGTGTCTACTGGAGAATATGAACTTTCTCCTTTCTTCGAAGGGCCAAGCTTACGGCGAGACACACTGGGAACGGTTTGTTTTCGTGAGGACTATCCTCACTGATCACACCAAGAGAGAAACCTGTTGCTCAGCGCCTGGAGGTATTCTGCTGAGCTCCCCAGCTGCACCACACCACTCCTGCTCAGCGAGAGGCTGCTAGAACAGGCAACGGCTGTGGTCAGATAACACTCAGTCTGCTGAAAATACAAGAGGCAAAATGGCACTGTAACCAGCAAACAAGAGTACAGAACTTGTCTCCGAGTTGGTTTTCTACCACTGCTGGTGGTATTAGCTCATCTGTCTGCCACAGTGTTAGCTATTAATGAGGGTGTGGGTGGTTAGTTATTAAGGAGGGGGGGGGGGGGAGAAGCCACGACTGAAGAGGCGGGTTGAGGATTCCTGCATGGCTTAGTGCGTGTATGGCTGCACAGGAGACAGGCAAACAAGCAGCAAAAGAACGGAAAATCAGACTGACATCTTACAGCAAAAGAACTCAGGGCTTACAAAGATATTTTTGATAAAAGACCTCTTTAAGATAGGCTTTGAAGGAACTACAAATCTTTCCTCCTTTTCTGTGTTCACTCCAGGTTCCCCAAGCACCTGCACAAAGCCTCTCCTTCCATGCCAGCGAGCTGAGGCGGGGTGTGGGAAAACCTCACAGAGCCACTCTCATCTACAGAAAGACTGCTAAAATGCAGGAGAGCAAGGAATGGGACTGGCCCTTGTCGTGACACTCGAGCAGAAGCGAGCACGGGCAGCAGCAGGTGTAAAGCTGCTTTACGTGCAGCTGCTCCCGGGGAAGGCAGAGCACCTCACCACACTGCTTCTGGCCTTCACACAAGATTGCCCACTGCGTCACGCCAAGTGCATCTCTGCCTGCGTCTGCTCGCCACGACAGCTCAGAGCTTTAGAACCACACGAATCCGAATCAGCGGAGCTGAACTGTCAAGGATCTGCCTCAACAGAAAGACAAATTGCACAACTGTGGTCATCGATGTTCACAATTCTGAGGTCAGATAAAAAAAGCCGACTGACTACAGGAAATCAAACTAAGAGGCCCTTGCAGTAAAAGATTTTATGTTATGAAAGGCACTACATCCCACTGAGCAAGGCACTAACCACGAGGTGTGGTGCAGGATGGCCTTCCTGTATTTAGTACCTTAATAAAGATTGTTACAGCAATACTACACAAAACAGCCCAGAGAGAGGAGGGTTGAATGCGTGGTGCTCTGACAGCCGTCTCTGAGATCAAGGGCTCCGAATGCTGCTGCCCTCCACATCCCAGCCTTCACGGGAATCAAGCAGGTCCCAAAGGACACTCAGGAGCCCTTCTGATTTTTGGTGCCACGCCACTTCATTATCTTTGAATTTTGTTGGCTGTCATTCAACTTCCCTTGAAATTCATCTTTCGAGGAGTATGTGGTACCTTTTTCAAGTCAGTGTTTGTTCTTTGGTATCTCCCTAAAGGTTATGGCTTACATTTTCTAAAAGAATCCACAACAGAGCAGCTGTGGTCAGTGTCAGCAAGACACCGCTGTGAATGCCTACAGCTGCACACGTGTGGAAATCCAGCTTTCTGACTGCAACCAGGAGCGAGGCGGTTAGGTAAATGAAGGCACAAATAGTTCTACTTTTAATGTGGTGTTGGTGCTTTCACTTGAGCCCAAAGCAGGGCTCCCAAAACTGGCATTGCCCAGCCTGAGCTGGGCCCCATCTCTGCTGGTGTTACCTGGTCCAGGTCATTCCGTAAGGCAATTTTGCTTGTTACGAGCTCATGGGCAAGGTCATCGTTCTCCTGCTCCAGCCGCATGCTTGCTTCTTGGAGCCTGCGGTTTTCCCTCTGCAGAAAGAAAGGAACAACCAGAAAAGGAAGTTAATCCTTATCAATATCAAAGAGCAATAAGCCAGTATATTGTGTGTGTAAAACACCGAGAAGGCAAGAGTGCACATTCAGACAGGACGGCTGCTCTGGGAAACAACAGTGAATTAAGCCAGCGGTGCAAATGCAGCGATTCCACTTACATCCCAACGGTTACGTTTGTGTCGCAGAAGAGACACTGACTGTAGGGTTTCTCTGTCAAAAGTAAACACAGTCCTCTCCACAAAAGCACCTGGTTTCTGCTTGCTCACCATCAAAAGAAACCAGGAAGACAAAATCCCACCCAGCAGCAGTGAACAGGGACCAGTTAAGAGATACCCATGTTTCCAATCGAAAGTAGAAAGCTGTCCTGCTCTATTTTACAAAATTTTGTCTGCAGGAATCGGTACAAATTGTCCTTTTTGTTGATGATGCAGTGCCAACCTCCCATCTTCTGTGGGACCAGCACAGAACAGCGTTTGGCAGGGAACTCCCCACAGCTCGTACAATCTGGGTCGCCATTTGGGCGCTTTCTCTGTACCGTGCGCCGGCACCAGCGGTGCCCATTTTACAGGATATCTGCGGAGAAACAGTGCCAGATGGAAAGGGGACCTCCCTCCCCGAGCACAGCCCCCAAACCCGCTCGGCGGGCAACGCACGGCAACGCGAAACGCAGACCTTTGGGACTGCAGGCCCTGGTCCTCGCTGCACCGCTCTCCCTGCCCGCTCCGCGCGGGCAGAAAAGATGACGTGGAACGCTAACTAGAGACGGTAAGCACACAGGAGAAGGATGAACAGTAGTAATTAATGATTTTTAAAAGTCAGTTTCAGTGACTGTTCTTCCAGGGCTGAGAAGCAGAATCATATCCAAAAGACGTCTGTGGGTCACGGAATTCCAGGAGTCCACATCAACTCCCCGTCTTCGTCTTCAGAAGAATACAGCCAGGTGGGACAGACAGAGGTGGCCTCCTCAAATGGATTTTCAGACAGCAAAAAATATGCTGGCCTTCGGTCACACAATGACCGTGCATCTTTCATAGCGAAGGAGACTGCAGAGGGAATCTGTGCGCTGTGGAAACTCAAGGAAAAATACCAAGTCCACATGGAAACTCCTAGGTGGAGGAACAACAACCTACGTGCTGAGATTTCAAAAAGGACCTGTGCTCACTTGCCAGGTAAGTTATGTTCTCCAAGAAAAAACAGTAAAAGTGAATATGTATCTGCACTTAAGAGAGAAAAAAATTTCCTGGAGTTGTTCAGTGAATGCCTCCCTACAAAATGCGATTCCTTTGCAGACGCACATTCTTCGCTTGTCTTCGCTTCCTCCTGCTCACCAGCTATGCCCAGGTAGTTTCTTCTTTCCAAACTCACCGCTGTGAAACTGCAATTTTCACTTCTGTTGCAAGAAGATTTTGCATGCTTGTCTTACACAACAAAGGACACGTACAGCTCTGAGAGGATGCCAGAAAAGGGCTCTGGTGTGGGAGCTTCCTCCGCGGCAGGAAGCAGAACCTCTGCAAACGCTCTCTCCCTAATGTGACCCCATTGTGCAACCACACCGTGCACTGCCCTGCACAGGAAAGTGTTTGTTTCCTTTCCAAAGCATCGTACTTTAAATAACTTGTTTTGTTACAGAAACTGTAAGTAAAATACCTTTGCTTTAACACTGCGAAAATAACCGCTGCTGAAAGACGCGGAACTTCAGAGATCTTTTTGATTCCAATTGCACTGTACTCTGTTTGAGACTAGGAATTTTTAAAAGTAAAATTCTTCTGTAAGGTTAATATATACTTTAAAGTGTAAACCCAAATTGCAGTCAATAATAATAATAATAATAATAAAAATAATAATAATAATAACAGCTCCAATGTGTCTTTATTTCTGTACATTGTTCAGACCACCTTGGAAATGCTGATTTTTACAGACACAGCTCTGCCAGCGAGCAGTTGTCAGAAAGTGATTTGAGCTCATCTGAAAGCTGGGAGCAGATCAGGGCAGTGTTGCTGCCAGGTGCTGCAGCACCGACACCTTCTCATCGGGATGTTGCTAGAGGGAGAAATCAGCAAATTCTTAAGACTCCCACAGAGGAAACCAGAAAGAAGTTTGCTTTAACATTTTTGCTATGCTTTTGCCAAAAGCTTTGGTGTCCGCAAAGCAAGCCGCGCAACGTGAAGTTCAAAGTTCCTGCTTTGCATTCGCAGACAAGTGGGTAAGCAAGCTACGTGGTTGGAAATGCGCTATCCTCCTCTTAAACTAGAATTTACATGGCCTGTTGTTAGTAAGTTAAAGATCTCTTACCTTGGGCATCCAGTCAATAGCTAAGAGATGTTTTTATCTCGCTCACCGTACTTTTCATTCCCAGCTGGAAGTCCCTTACAGGGCCACCTTCACTCTTCCTCCACCCCGGGCAGTATGCGTGATTACACGGTTTGTCTTTTCCAGCTCCTCCCTCCACATCTAGCCCTGAAAAACTGCCTCCTCCCTCGGGAGGAAACTCTTAATCTGCTCAAGTCTAAATAAAACCTAACGCCACACAGTAAAGATCAAACCAGCAAACAGCGCTTTCCATACGCAGCAAGCCGCTTTCAGTGGCGCTGCAGTATTTACAGGGCTCTATAAAGTACCACTCGCAACGGCGTGAAGCTCAGCGGCTGGAGCTGGTTCCTCACAGCAGGACTC